TCCCTTCCCCTCCCCTCTTCCCCTCTCCTCTCTCCTCTCCTCTTCCCCCCCTCCCCTCTCTTCTGCCATCGTCTCCTGCTCTCCTCTCCCCTCTTCCCCTCCCCTCTCCTCCCCTCCCCGCCCCTCCCCTTCGCCTGCTGGCCCATCATCCTGGGCCCCACATCTCACCCCATCACTCTGTCACTTTTAGACCCTGCCTCCCTTCCTGTTCACTTTCTCACAGCACCCATTCGCCACTTCCCCGCTCATTCCTCCATTGCATTCCCCAGGATCATCCCGAGACTCTGCCTCCCCCTTGCTTCCCCTGCCATTCCCCTGGCCCTGCAGGGAAGAATGGAACGTGACTTAGCAGCTGGAGTCCAGGGCAAGCTGCCCCCTTGGGAGCAGCTGTCTCTCCTGCCCCCACCCACCCTGGAGGTGCCTTGTGAAGGACTGCTTCAGTCGGGGAGTTTCTGGGGGCTGAGGAATGCAGGGCTGCACAAGCTGCTATTTTGAAATGTGAGGAGGCGGCAGCAGCATCTATAAATGTCTCATTTCAGACAGAGGAGCAGCTGATGCCCATGTTCATGTCCCTCCAGCTGTCCGGCGCCCAACCCTGTGCATACTCCGATACAGAAAAGACGGAGTGGGGGGGGCTGCAAGTGACGGGGGGCTGCGAAGTGGAGTTGGCCTCTGGCAGATAGGCTGAGCTCAGGACCAGGGCAGCTGGCAAGGAAGTACACTGGTAATCCATCAGCTTCTTTGCCATCTGACAGTCAAGTTTAATGAAGGCGACTATGACTGTTCCTTGTTCTCACAACAGCGTTAGCTCCTGTTTCTTGCTATGTCCGATTCTTCCCGCTGGTCGCCCTTCTGTCTCATCAAGCCATGTCTGCCATCTGATCGTCTCATGTCAGAGGCAGCATGAGCCCTGGTCTAGCCTGTATGGCCTCCTTTAGTCCTGGCGGTGTTTGATTCTTTCTCATTAGCTCCAGCTGGCCCTCAGAGAGCCTTTGAGCCACTCTCACTGGAGTGGCATGACTCAGAGAAAGCTAGCTCTGGAGTGTCTGTGCCTGTCTAGCCGAACACGTCTCGGAGAGCTCAGGTCCTTCGGGTGGGGCGGAAGGAAGGAAGGCCCAGCTCCCTTCGGAAACACTTTCTCACACTGCTGAGCAGTGGTCGGACGGCACAGAGCTGCTGCAGGGCTCTGATCTGGGTCCTGGAGAGGATTCCCCTTGGGAGCTCCTGAACATGTGGCCCCAGGCAAGAGGTGAGAATTTAAGCCTAGCTTGTTGTGTATGGTATCAGGGATTTACTGTGAGTAGCGTGCTTTGTATCTGTATGGGATACATTTAAAAGCCAGCTTTGATTCTGGATTGTACACAGGACGGTGTCTGGTCCGCTGTTCGTTAGACCCATGTGTGGTCGCTCTCTCTGAGATGTGTCTGCGTAGTGCCCTGGGCATAGAGTCCCCGGGCACCGACCTCAGCTTTCTTGTCGAGTCACTGATTCAGAGACTGGAAGGGACTAGCATGGAGAACCCTGGAGTGACACTCACTCACCCTCTCCCCAGGACTGGATTCAGTTTGAAGGGAGCCCAGGGCTGGTCTCGTTTTGAGAGCCTCGCTTTGCAGAGTCAGTGTCTTTCCTTTTTTGCTTTCCCACTCCCCCTGCCCAGTGCCGAAGACTCGTTTGTTCAGGTCCCTCGACTGTGTCAGTTCCGCGCCTGTTGGAAAGCTGGGTGAACGTTCAAACAGCCCCTTTGAACTCTGGCACAGGACTGGGGGTGATGCTCTGGTTTGACGTATCTAATCACGTGGACAAATGAGATGTATTTTGCGGGTGTCAAAGGAGTTTCAGGCTGGGTGCCCTGGAGCTGCTCCGAGTGAAGCCAGGCAGGACTTTAGCATATCATGACTCCCCACAGGGCAACCTTGCACCATAGAAAGCAGCTTCTTCAGCTTGCACGTCTCCTGGATCTGACCTCAGAAAGCTCAGCCCTCTATATACCCTGGGAGCCCTCCTGGGCAGGACACTGGGGAAGCCTTGCACACCCCCAGAGGGCCCTGCACCCGCCTCCACAGTCAGCAGCAACTGACAGCCAGCATACAGCACAGAAGATTATTCGTCGACGGGACCGCAGAGGAGATCAGACTTTGTTAGCCCAGAAAGCAGGAACATTCAGCAAAGCCCATATTGGGGGGATCCAGGGCCTCCCAAAATAAGAGACGGACGAGTTTCCACCAGCCCATCTGATCTCCCTTGTAATTTCTCTGGCTTTGTCTCTTTCCTGGGCAAACCAACACCTGATCTCTTTCCTCCTAGCACCTTGTGGGGGGTGGGGCAAGCCATCATCAGAGCGGCCGGGCGGGGTCAGAGCAATGGCCCATCCAGCCCAGGGTCCGGTCTGCCCACAGTGGCCAGTGCCAGGTGCCCAGAGGGAGGGAACAGAACAGGGAACCCTCACCTGATCCCTCCCCTCACCCATTCCCTGCTACTGACAGAGGCCAGGACACCCACCCTGCCCTGCCTGGCTAACAGCCACTGATGCATTTATCTAGTTCTGCTTTCAATCCGCGTAGCATTTTCTGAATTCTGTTGCAGGGTGTTGGCCATTTTCTGCGTGGGTGATACTCACATCTGCCCTCTAGAGACCTCTTCAGCAGTCATGCGCCCGTATACCAACACCCAGCTACTTGAGCAATACATAAGGGAAACTGAGGCACATACAGAGTTCAGAGGAAACATTAAGAACGTTCCCACTGTATCACAGGAGACCCCTCAAAATCTAAGACCCCAGGCTGCTGTGCCTAAAGCCCCAGTGTTAATTCGTATTGGCCTCACACCAACATTGCCTCAAGCCCGTTAGCTCCAGTTTGAGGCAGAGGCGTCTTTTGGAAAGACCCAGGCTAGATTACACCACCATATTCCGAGGTCGATTACTGCAGTGTTCGAGTACCCATTGGATCTGAGCTGGGTTGTGCTGACAGAAGAGGATTAGGGCCCAGAGCGATGGATCAGGACAGATGATGACTGCATCAGTCCTGTGTCTGCACTGGGGGGAGGAGCGTGTTTTCCCATCTCTCGGGGGGCAGGACTGGGTCTATGGCACTATGTTAACAGAACCTTAGTTACTCAGTGGGAGGAAGAAGAGGCAGAAGCTGGGAGTCCACCCCAGAAGACCCTGCAGCATCCCTGGAGATGAGGCTGACACCCAGAGAGACTCAGGAGCTAGCGGTGTCATTGAGCCAAAGCAGGGCTTCTGAGGCATGCTGTGGGCCAGTGCCCTCCTCACCTTCAGGGTTGGCCCTCCCGGCCCCACACTACGCAAGAGGGATTGTGCTCTCCTTCTCCCTGCGGCAGAGTGGCCAACCCATTAAATGAAGAGAGCCAGTGGTGGAAAAAATGCAAAGAGCTGCACCCAAATTGTTGAGTGAAAGAAAAGGGGGAGGGGGAGACACTGTCCTTTTAAAAACCATGGGCAGGCTATTTGGCCACATCAGGCTCCCGTCGCCTGCCGCCATTTTGCCACATGGACAGCTCCCCTGCACTGGGCCCAGGCCGATTGTAGGGGCACATGGGTGACTTTGCGAGCTGCACTTTCGGGGTGAAGAGCCGCATGCGGGTTGGCCACCCTGCCCTGTGGGTGGGATTAGCAGGACCTGTTGTCGCCTGCACCGTGGGGTCTGTGCTCATGTAGCATCTCTGGTTTCCTCCCTGGCCTTAGAGAACGGGCAGGGAGAATGCTGCGGCAGACCTTAGTGCCACGAGGCAATGCTGCCATGGGGTAAGAGGAAAGGTCCTCCCCTGGACTGAGAACTGGTTAAAAGACAGGAAACAAAGGGCAGGAATGAATGGTCGGTTTTCAGAGTGGAGAGGGGTAACTAGTGGGGCCCCCAGGGGTTCATACTGGAGAGGGAACAGGGTGATGCTGGGAGAGGAGGGGGGAGGAGTGGGTGTCAGGAGAAGAGAGGGCATGAGGAAGGCGGGAGTTAGAGCAAGCCATGTGTGAGGGCCCAGAGGGGCATGAGGAGAACTGGGGCAGAGCGTGGTGGGCGTGGGGGACAGGTGTTGGACGGGCAGGGGCTGTGAGGGAAGGGGGAGGCACCAGGAGGGTGCAGGGCTAAGGGAAGGTGCAGGTGCCAGGGGATGGTGGGAGTG